TAGCATTTTCGTTTAATAAAAATTCGTTTACAACCCTAAGTGATATAACGCGACATTGAAATGTAGCTTTCGTTTCGCGTTTCCGACGATAGTTTCGAGTGACAGAAATTGATTTACACACTATTTTACATACACTATCACATAAACATGATGCTCATGACATGTTTTAGCAAAAGATTTTTAGTGTAACACCGAGGGTGTTACAACTAAGATCCTTCATATCAAACTTTGATGACAAGAACTTCTTTGTTTGTAGTAGTAGATTAACATCACTGCTAGCGAGCAAGATGTCATCCACATACAAGACTAGGAAAATATATTTTCTATTCTTAAACTTTGCATAAACGCAACTGTCCTCTATATTTTCTTGAAACCCAAACTTTCTTATTGTACTATCAAACTTCAAATACCACTGTCTTGAAGCTTGTTTTAATCTGTAAATAGATTTCTTCAGGCAACATCCCATGCGTTCTTTTCCTTCTACAACAAAACCTTTTGGTTGTGTCATGTAAACATTTTTCTCCAAATCCATGTTTAGGAACGCCGTCTTTACATCCATCTGATGTAATTCGAAGTCGTAACGTGCAACAAGCACCATTATGGTTCTAAAAAAATTCTTACATGAGATTGGAGAAAATGTCTCATTGTAATCTATGCCTTCTCTTTGCGTGAAACCTTTCGTCACAAGTCACGCTTTAAACCTTTTTATATTCCCTTTGGAGTCATGTTTAGTTTTGTAGATCTATTTACAGCATACTGTCTTGGGTCATTTAGGAATTATTTCTAAGTTCCAAACTCTGTTAGTTTTCATTGATTTCATTTCATCTTCCATGGCTTCAAGCCACTTGGATGAGTGAGCACTTCTCTTGACTTCTTCAAATGAGGTGGGATCACCCTCTATTTAAAATTCCTCACATTTATAAACTTCATAATCATTAGGAATGGCTGATCTTCTGACTCTTTGAGACATTCTAGAGGCCTCGTTAGATGACGCTTGTTCTACATGAGGCTGTTGTTGCTCTCCCTCATGTGTGACAATGGGTTCTTAGGGATCCTAAAGGACAGGTTCCCCATGTTCATTCATTGTTGCCATAGGAGAACTAACAACAGGTGTTATTACTACAATACCTTGCACAGTTGGTACAGTAACAACAGGTAGCGTGAAGAATGGTTACTGAACCATAGGGTGGGCACGTTTATCCGCTTCTCTTCAAAACTAATTTCTAACGCTACCATGTTCTCCCTGATCATATCATCCTCTAAGAAGACAGCATGTCTTGTTTCTACAAACTTCGTTTGTCTATCAGGATAATAGAACCGATAACCTTTTAACTTTTCTGAATAGCCAATGAAATGACAGCTGACTGTCTTGGAGCCTAGCTTCTCTATGTTTGGGTTAAATACTTTTGCCTCAATTGGACAACCCCACACACATAAATAGTTTAGTGGGGGTTCCTTTCTTGTCCACAACTCATACGGTGTTTTAGGCACCGACTTACTTGACACTCAATTAAGAATATGAATGGCGATTTTTAACGCCTCCATCCATAAATTTATCGATAAGGTAGAGTAACTTATTATGCTTCTTACCATATCCATTAAGGTATGGTTACCATAATTCTTCTTTCTCCTCTTTGCAGGGTCCTCCTCGTACGAAATTCCTATAATGAATTTGCAACATGAACAGTTGCACCTGAATCAATCCACCAAGTAGATTTTGCATAACTTAAATATAAGAATTTATTTATGAATGTAATGAAATCCTCACCTCTCTTCAGAAGGTTCTTTAGGAAGTCTGGATAGTCTCTCTGGTAGTGTCCATGTTTCTTGCACAATTTGCACTGATCCTTTTTAACTTGAGCATTGTTGTTTTTCTGATAATGCTCAGTCTGAGGGGCTTTCCCCTAAGGTTTGGGATTTTATTGAAGTTCTTTTTCTTGTTCTTCATAAGGTTAGCAGAGTCACCCTGTAAGGACTTCAGCATCTCCTCTTCTTGAACACACATTATGATGAACTTCTCTATGTCCCACTTGTCGGGCTACATGTTGTAGTTAACAACAAATGTTTCATATTCCTTTGGCAAGGAAGCAAAAACCAAATGAATCAGGAACTCATCCTTAAGCCCCAAATCCGTTGGCTTCAGCTTCGAAGCTGTGTTGCTCATCTTCAGTATGTGCTCTCTGATACTGCCACCAATATGTTTTTCATTGAAAAATTTCTTGATCAATGTATTGGCATAAGCCTTTGAAGAGCCAGTGAACTGACTCTCCACCTTCTTAAGATACCCCGTGGCGGTATCACAGTCTGGGATAGACCCCCTTATAGCATATAAAATTGTGGACTTAGCCACCATCAAGCACTCGTGGTTTGAAATGTCTCATTTCTTGCATTTAAGATCATACTTCATCCGCACTTCTGCATAATCTCGCTGCTGAGCAGTGAAATCAGCATTAGACTCATTTTCTTTCCTCACCGGGTTCACTGGTTTAGTAGGACACGGGGAGGTTAGCGCTAAGTCATTCTCGGACAGCGCAAGTGCGAGCTCATACTTCTCTCGCCATACTCTGTAATTGCCCAATTCTAGAGGTGGTATGTGCGAGATAAATTCCATTGGGTTGAGTCTTGAAAAACACCGTCAGAGATAGTGAGAAAATATAACATTATAATTGCATGCTTTAATTTAACGTTGGTTAAAATTAAAGCATACAATATTCTAATACACTAATTCTACATCATCGTTGGACAGAAATAGAATTAATGCATGGAAAACTTATGATTAAACATTATAATATTACTATTATCAACGTTGGTCAGAAAAATAATAATATTATAATTTATTGATTAAAATTGACTACTCTTCAAATTAAATTCTTTCATTGGTTTAAATTTAATTAGAAGATTATAAACTTTAACATTGCAGCGGAAACTTGAATAAATAATAATTATCTACTTTTCAGAAGCATTTTCTTGTTCATATCTACTTTCTGAAAAAAGTAACACGTTGGTGTAATTTTACCAGAAATTTTAAATGTTCGAAATTAATCAAAATTCATTCAAATATGCTTCTAAAAATTAAATAAACTTCAAATCATTTCTTGCTGTTCATTTCGGCCCGACCTGTAGCAGTAGTAAATGTCCCAGCAGCAACAGTGCGCGCGTACGCGCTCGCGACACCTCCCCCACGCCGAGGCCATAACCTGGGCCTAGGGCGGGAAACTGTAATCGTACCTGGGCTCATTTTGGCCCGATGACGTTCCAGCCGTCAGATCAGATCCGACGCCCATCCGTGCGAGTCGCTCGATCAAAATGGCGACCTTGGCTGCTCCCCTGAAACCCTAACGCCATTCTGTTCTCCTCTTTCTCTCTCTCAGCGCAGCAACATCGAGTGACCGAGCGAAGACGAGAGTGAAGAGAGGTGGTGGCGCCGTCGTCGGCCCTCTCGCCGGCGCGTGCGTTCCCCAACGGGTGAGCGCGCCGCCGTCGAGCAGTCTGGGCATCGGTGCCCTGATCCCCACGTGCGCTGCGATGAGAAGCTCTTGAAAACCCTAGATCTGACCGTTCTCTTCTCCACCTTGTCTCTCTCAGCCCCACGACAACACCAAGTGAGGCGAGGTGATGACGGCGCCTTCGCCGCCCCCTTGTCGGTGCGCGCTCTCCAGTGGGTGAGTGTGCCGTCATCGAGCAGCCTGGCCGCGGTGCCCTTGGCCAGACCACGCGCCCGCTCAACGTGCAACGACGGCTCGACCCTTCTTCTCGCGCGCCGACTTGGCGGCAGCGCGGTGCAGTTGTGAAGTAGGTCTCTTCCCCTTCCCTTTTCTTCTCTGATTGGATTTCTCTTTCATTTCTTCTCGGATCTATCCGATTTAGGGTTGGGGATGGGGTTAGGATCAAGATTAGGGTTAAAGTTTCCTTACTGTTCATCTTCCCCGAGCGGTTCGCATGGGTTAGGGTTAGGGTTAGAGTTGCTTTTCAAAACCAAGACCCTTTCTTACAGTTTTTCTTCACCCGATTGGGGTTTTGGGTTCGATGAACCCTCTGTTTAGATCCAAAACCGAATATATCATCTCCTTCTAAATGCTGCTACTCGGTTTTCTTATTCGATAGGTTAGATTTACACCTAGTTAGGCGTCTGATACCATTGATAGACCTAAAACACAATCACTAGCCATAGATCTAGCGTGTCTACTTGTTTTTGAATGATCAGTGAGTCCTAAAATATATATTAGTATAAGATAAGAGATAGAGTGAGAGAAAGAGAGGGGTGAAGGGGGTGTAAATCATCGACCGCCTTGGAGGAAGACAGGCTCGCCATCGCGGTGCTTGGTGAAGACTCGGTGGCGGTGCTGTGCCGAAGGACGGCGGTGCAGTGGCGGCGTTGGCCTGTGGCGGTGCTTCTCGTCGTTGGTAGCGCCCCCTCTGTGATCGGTTAGAGTTTAGGACTGTAGGTGGGGTGCTAGGCAGCGCAGGCGAACCTCGTGCTTGGCGCCCCGGCCCCCACCTCCTATTTATGACGCTTTGCGACGGGAGCCCACCAACCATATTAGGGATAGACGCCCCCGATCAGGACGCGGATCCAAGGGCCTAACTAACCGTTGGGTCAATTGGTGGACATCAACTAACAATTTCAGTCATTTGAATTTCTAATTGTATAGAGTTGTACAAATCATGGATTATTGTCCCAAGCAGTTCTTAAATTCTCTTAAGTCACAATTTACAAAGCATGGCCACTCAGTTTACCAAGAATAAGCAACCCCTCCTGGCCTCCACTAGAAACTTTCCATATATCCGATGAATTCCTAATTTCATTCCATTTGTACGACGCAACGCGGATGAAGCGGATGACTATATATATAGGCATGCGGCGCGGCGTAACCTAATCCAACCTCTTGCTAAGCGGCATTTGCCCTACGCGGCAGGCGTCGTACCCTGCAGGGAGCGGGGGGCATGGCGATGGCGGCGCAGTGCGGCGAGGGCAAGGCGGCGGACTGCAAGAAGACGCCATGGACGGAGAAGGAGGACGTGGCGCTGCGGCGGGCGGCAGAACTGGGCGGCCATCGCGGGCGCGGTGGCCGGGCGCGGCGCCAAAGTCGTGCCGGCTGCGGTGGTGCCAGCACCTGGCGCCGGAGCTGGACAGCCGCCCCTTCACGCCCGAGGAGGACGCGCGCATCGTCGAGCTGCAGCGCGTGCACGGCGACAAGTGGGCCACTATCGCGCGCTTCCTCCACGGCCGGTCCGACAACGCCGTCAAGAACCGCTGGAACTCCGCGCTCCGCAAGATGCAGCAGGGCTACCCCGCCGCCGCCGCCGCGGAGGACGACGCCGACGGCACCGAGGACACCGACCGTCAGGCGGAGGCCGTGGCGTGCCTCGATCTGTTCCCACTGAGTGCTGGAGCGATGGGGGAGGCCACTGCGGCAGATCGGTTGGTCGTACGTGAGGAGGAGGGCGACGTGGCGGTGGAGCCGATCGGCCTGAAGCTGGGGTCGCCGGGGCTGAGCGATGCGGAGCTGGCGCTCAGCCTGGGGCCCGTGCGGCCATCGCCGAATCGTGGAGAAGCAGCTTGTGAGCGCTATCATCTATTGGTGGATCCATGTGGTCTAAAGTTTAGTTGACGTACTACTAATCAATTTTAGCACACTTATATGATCTAATGAATTAATATTTTTTTAGACCATCTATTTTGAGCTTTTCAAAAGCTAAAATTTAAGGGATAAATTTTAGACAATAAGAGCATCGCCAGTGTCGTCGCGTCGAACCGAGCCGCGTGCGTCAGCCACGAAGGCACCCATTTAATTCGCATGCAAGCAAACGGAACACTGCGCCAGTGTGGAGTTCGCTTTTTATCTGCGAGACTCACGAAAAAGTAAAAAAAAAGAGACCAGAGCACTGCTCCGTCTTCTGCATGGCAGCATGAGTGAAAACTATAATATTTAATTGCTCTTGCGTCGAACCGTAAGTAAGCGGCGAACTGAAGATTTTTTGTTTTGGCACGGTTCGACTGCTCCAATGTGTAAATCGATCTTTCACCCCGTTTCTCTCTCCCCTCAGTTCGTTTCCACCATACACTCAAGCTCCTCTAAGATCCAAACAACATCTATATATGTCACGTGGTTTTGTCACAATGAAAATATACATGCAACCATGTTTGTCAAAATTTCGATTTTCTATACAAACAAAGTGGTTTAATTAATTCTATCTTATGATTTTTATATATTTCAGATTCAAATACTCCATTACGATTTTCTAGAATCTACGAAAGCTTTGCAACTCTGCGGTGGGCTACATGTCTTATGCCAACTGGATGGACCGATTGACTCTTGAGCAACCACGTATGTGGGCTCAGATCACATAGCCCAGCCTTGCAAGTACCACCAAAGAAAAGCCCATGTAAGGTTATCCGCACTCTAGGCCCATGTCCATTTACCGTTAGTTGGTGAGCCTGCACTACACAGCCGCTCCAAGCCCGATCGTTCCTCGAGAACTCGCTCGCTCGCTCGCTGTCTACGCTTCGCTCCGCTTGACGCGAGCCGCGCCCGCGCGGGAGCACGCGCTCATGTCGACAACGCCGGCGCCGGCGACGGCGTCCGCGCTTCCAAAGTCAGGGGCGGTATCCAAGGGCTACAACTTCGCATCCACTTGGGAGCAGGTTGGTCGCCACGCTTTCGCTTTTGGCAGATCTGGCCGTGGCCGGGCCCGAGATCTCGCCGGTGCGATCGGCTGTTTCATGGATCTGACGCTCTATTTGTTTGGGTATCCTCATTTTTTGGCAGAACGCGCCGCTCACGGAGCAGCAGAAGGCCGCGATCGCCGCGCTCTCCCACGCCGTGGCGGAGCGGCCATTCCCGCCCAACCTGGTGAGGCGCCGCACCTGAGAACTGTCATATTTGTATGAATTGTTTACTTGAACCAACCAATGAATGTTGGGATTTCGTAGGGCTGTAATTGGGCTTACTTCGTGCTCTAAAGTGTGCGCCTACTGCTTAGGCTGCACTGGAGCCCTGTGGAGTTGGGGTTTGAGTTGGCAGTGCAGGGTTTAAGCAATTTATTTTTGTGGGGTTGGAAAATTAGGATCAATTCTAGATTTTAGCGCACATGCTATACTCTAATTTCTGCATGTGATGTTAAGTGCATGTTTGGCCTTCTACGGTAATTTCATTGAATGGCTTTTAGCCTTTTACTGAACAATATTTTTGGTCCTGTTTTAATGTTCCCTTTTGAAGGGTGGGCCTAGTGCAAGCGGTAGAGTCTTACCGCCTGTGACCGGAAGGTCCCGGGTTCGAGTCGCGGTCTCCTCGCATTGCACAGGCGAGGGTAAGGCTAGCCACTGACACCCTTCCCCAGACCCCGCACATAGCGGGAACTCTCTGCACTGGGTACGCCCTTTTTTTTTAATGTTCCCTTTTCTGGCTTGGGTTGGTAGTGGATACTGGATGTGTGATGGGCATGTAGTTCATGAAAATGTGTTCTCTGGGTGTTTATCAGGATAAGAGTTCAGGGAAGGATGGAGGTGTGGCTGTTCCAGAGAAAGAATCTGCTTTAGAGGAGGCTGGTGCAATGGATGCAGTCTTGGTGAATACACATCAGGTTTGTTTTCATTCTTCTGTTCCTTGAGTTTTGCTTAATGGGTGCATTGCTATTCATATCTAGCATTGGCAATGGAATTTTAAAATTAATGTTTTCTTTCCTGTAGTTCTACAAGTGGTTTGCAGAACTGGAGTCAGCTATGAAATCTGAGGTTTGTTTAATGCCACTATTTCTCTTGGCAATGGAATGACTGTGACAACACTGTTTGCTCCTCTGGCTCTTTGACAGACTGAGGAGAAGTATCGACTCTATGAGAATACATTACAGGAGCGTGTCAACACATGTGACGGTATCCTTAAGCAAGTAAGCCTGCAAAAGTTTTTGTTGGGTTATGTTGAAAAAAGATGTTACAGACAGATACATCTTTGCATTTTTAGTTTTAACCCTTTTATCCTGGATCTGTACAGGTTGATGATACATTGAACTTATTTGAAGAACTGCAGTCTTTGCACTCAAGCGTTGCCACGAAGACAAAAACTTTGCATGATGCTTGCGACCAACTTGTATGTCCCTTCTGCACTAGTTATTTTTGTTAGCATCATTCTTGCAGTTGTGTTAGTGCAGTTTGACTCTTTGATAATGGAACATCCACCAGAAAGGAAAAAAAGAAATATGTACCAGAAAGAACCATTGATTCTGCATGGCTTGTGTGCATAAGCCATCTTGAAGAGTGAAAGAAAAAAGAGCAGTGATATTGTCTTACTTGCTTACGATCCTCCACTTCCAACAAATCATAGTGCTCTGTTTCTCATCAAGTGGGCCCAAAGAAGTACTTTCTCCGTTGCAAAATTATAAGTCACTTTGACTTTTTTGGTACATCCATTTTGCTATGCATCTAGATATAATAATATGTCTAGATACATAGCAAAATGGATGAACCAAAAAAGTCAAAGCGACTTATAATTTGGAACGGAGGGAGTACATATTTTCTTCAGTTATGCTAAGTTGTTCATGGGTCGCACAGTGCAATCTTATGCAGTCTTTCTCAAAAAAATAAAAAAAATCGACCAACCTAAAAGGAACCGTATCATAGTAAATAAGTAGGCACTCAAATTTGAGTTGAAGAGAGACTCGAACCTGGGTGGTGGGAGTCTACCAATACCTCCCAGGCTACAACATGCAACATTCAGTTCCTCATCTTGAAGAGTTTCATGAATATTCGTGAGGGTTTTTCAAAATAAGATCTATTGCTTTATATAGTTTGTTTGTATGAATTATATATGCATGAATGCATATATCATGCTAAAGAAAAGGAAAATCTCTTTGTTCATGCTTGTTAGCTTGTATTTCAGCTCATGGTCCATTTTTTGATGCATTTTGTAGCTTCATTCCTGTTGCACCTTTTACATAGGAGAGTCCTCATACACACTATTTTTCGTGTGTGTAGCCTTATTGAATGTCATGTGTAAAATCCACAAAATCAGTTGAGGCATGCCATGGACCATTATACTCAAGCTAAACTGCATACTGTTTTAACCACATGGGGAAGTATTACATGGACCTATGGTGGCATCAATCCAAATAATTGTTTTGACCTGTTCTATTAGGTTGGCTAAGTCGAGATATCAATGTGAGGAGAGGTAGAGGAAGACTGAAGCTGATATGGGGGGAGGCAATAAAAAAAGATTTGAAAGGTTGGGATATACCTAGAGATCTTTGTTTGGATAGGAGTGCTTGGAAAGCAGTTGTTGACGTGCCTGAACCGTAAATTGGGGCTCATGTTGGGTTTCAACTCTAGCCTACCCCAACTTGCTTGGGACTAAAAGGCTTTGTTGTTGTTGTTGTTGTCTGGCAATAATCTAAAACAAACTGAAAAAGGCTCACATCTCTTTTGGTATTCAGTAAGTGCACTCTGATTTTACGAAACCCAACACTTCATTTCATGTACTGGATGCTGGTGTCACTTTACTTTGTAACAAACTTTTATGTTAATTCCACATTGATATTGAATGTAATGTTTGGTGGCAGAAACATATTTTTCTCATCTTTCTGGTTCCTCTCCTGGTTTTCTTTACTATTTGGTGATTGAGCATTATTTCTAATGATGGTGCAGTTGGTTGAGAAACAAAGGCTGATTGAGTTTGCAGAGGCACTTCGAAGCAGGCTCAACTACTTTGACGAATTGGAAAATGTAAGGTTTGGCAAATGTAGATGTCATATTACAAAGATTTTTATATTCTACTTTATGAAAAAAAATCAGATCCAGTTATCAAGTCATCTGACTAATCACGATTAGTCGGGCTAATTGGTGCCATGGCGATCATCTATGCACTACGATTAGTCACGATTAGTCGGTGCCATGACAACTAGAATCGGTTAGACGATTTGATAACATTGCTTGTCAATGGCTTCTGGAGCTTACACCAGAGTACTGTGTGACAAATTTACTGAACTATGTAAAACACAAAATATGAGGTTTTTGTCTTATTAGTTTGTGTGGAAGTTTCCGAACCAATAAATTATGTCAAGTTTCTACACTTATGTTAATTATTGCAGCCTGTCGTTGATTCGTGTAAAGTTAAAACTGATGTTTGGTTGTTTTGAGTAATGTTTATTTGACTTTAATGGAGGCCCTGAACTATGTGCCTCACTCCCTTCGTTGCAATCTGTGATTAATATTATGTTGTTATCTGTATCAGTGGGTATGTGTCCCCTAGGTTCTGCTCATGATGCTGTTGAGAATAGTCCATATCCAGAACCAGAAGATTAGAGCATGTTTGGTTGATGAATATATTTTTCCACTGCTAATGTGGTATCTTATAAATCCTTTGGCTCGCCATAAGAAAAGTGTGGTACTAGCTTGGTCTCCACTTTTGGCCTTGCTTTCTTTCCATGAAAAGGGTGAACTAACTATAGCCGTAACATGCAAAAGAGAGAAAAGCAGGCACCGGAAACTGCAGTATGTCAAGTTTTAAACATATATGCTGCAGATGCAAAGTAGCATATGGATGAAAAGTTTTACTGCCATTTCTGCTACTAAAATAGTTCGTTACCAATATGAGGCGCTGAGTTTTATACTTCTTCCACTAAAAAAATAGGAGGCTTGAGTTATTTGATTTCATCATTATCTTCTGGATCAAAATTTGATCAGTATTTTTTTAATGAAAACGTGGCAAGGCTTCCTAGTGAAATCACAGATGTAATTTTACTAATCTTACGTGGCCACAGAAATAGACTAGAGAATATAGTGGTCAAAGTTTATTTTACTAATCTTACGTGGCCACAGAAATAGACTAGAGAATATAGTGGTCAAATTTTTCTGAAGTTTGACCATGCAAATTCATATTGGTTTCATGTTTTTGAAACTGGAGGGAGTATTATGTTTTTCTGAAGCATGCGAACTATAAATCAGTAATGCGTTACTTGTCTTAATGTAGATGGCAACTAAAATAAATAATTCCAACTCTCTATGAGCGAACTCAATTGTAAACTACTAAACTCACAGCAGGCATTCCAGGGTAGAAATGACCAATCAAGCACTATCCTAGTGGTAGTGGGCCTTAGTTGGTAAGCAAGAGGTCATGGGATCGACTAAGATCTGAAAAAAAGAACACTAGATCAATTACAGGCTTACAGCACATTCAAATAATAACAAAAGAAGTCATTGGGCTATAACTTTCCCAACATATCCACTATTCAGTTGTTGGCATGAGAATCCTTTTGAATTGCTTTGTCATTATATGCATAACTACCTAGTTTTGCCATGTACATGCCACTGTGAGCTGACTTGCCTTTTGCAGGTCTCAAGCAGCTTTTATTCTCAAAATATAAACATTGGAAACGAACAGTTTCTTCCACTGTTGAAGCGCCTTGATGACTGTATCTCGTAAGTAGTAGCTGCATAGTAATGCTTTATGTTTGATTCTAGTGCTACGTTTCCGAAGCTAATGCAACTTCCCCTGTTGCTGATTGTAGGTATGTTGAAAACAACCCACAATATGCTGAATCTGCTGTTTACTTGGTCAAGTTTCGCCAACTTCAAGTAAATGACTACTGGTGATCCAATAGCTACATTCATAGGCATAAAGAATCAAAGTATTAGGATATGTATATATCAGGATCATTAGAGAGATCCCCTAGATAGGCTAGTTACTATGTATAGCCCAACCTCATGTATTTGTACCTTCCATGTGTGCCTAATTGGCGCTATATATGAAAGGCTCCCCACCCACATTGGGTGTGTGGTGATTTTCTCCATTCTACATGGTATCAGAGAATTAGGTTCTTTTTTTTTCTCCCTCCCCCCCGCACCTGTCTCCTCTCTCCACCAGCGGCTGTCTCCCCCACCAACGGCTCTCTTCCCAGGCCAACCATGTTGGCCTCCTCTGCCACCAGTGCCTCCCACTCCTCTGGAACCCTGCCGGTTGCGGACTCCATCTCTGCCCCCGCCATCCTCGTCGCCCCCTACGCGACGATCTCCATCAAATCCCACGTCCCGGTGACCTTGGAGTTGAAGCACCCAAACTTCAACCAGTGGTCGCCGTTCTTCATCTCCCTCTGTGGGAAATTCGGCCTCCTCCCGCACATCGACGGCACGGCGGCGGCCAGACCCACGGACCCTGCTTGGGCCATTGCGGACTCCTGTGTTCACAGCTGGCTCCTCAAGATTGTCGGGACCGATGTCCTCGGCCTTGCTGCGGCCCCGGACCAGACCGCGCGCGAGCTATGGTTCGCCATCAAGCGCCTCTTCGAGGTCAACAAGGCCCCGCGCGCCATCTTCCTGAGTCACCAGTTCCACTCCATGACCCAGGGCGACTCCTCCATCGACGAGTACTGCCAGCAGATGAAGGCCACCGCCGATGCGCTCCGCGACGTCGGCCGTACCATCACCGAATCGGAGCTTGTCCTCAATCTCCTGCGCGGCCTCAATCCTCGCTTCACGCAAGATCACGACAACATCGCCGACTCGCACTTTCGCTGGACTTTGCCACCACTCGCGAAGCTTCGTCCTCAAGGAGCTTCGTCTTGCCAACGAGGGCACTATCGCCGCCCAAACGGCGTTCCACTCGCGTCTTGGTCCAAAGATGCCGCTCGACCTCCGACACGCTGGTAGCGGCTCTCGCCGCCGTCGCCAGGAGGCCACGACGGCGGAGGTGGCTACGATGGCGATGGCGGAGGTGGTGGGGCGGCGGCGGCGATGCCACAGAAGAAGAAGGACGGGCGCCACGGCGGCGGCAATGGGCGGCAGCTTCGATCGGGGGCTGCGGGCTCCACACCGCCACCGGCCCTGGTACTACTTACGCTCGGATCGGGCGAAGCGCAGAAGAAGAAGAAGATGGCGCCACCGGCGGCGGCGAACCTCACTGGCGTGGCCCGGCGTCCTCGGCGCCTACCCTCGAGCCCCACCGCCGCCGCCCCGCCCAACTCTACGATAGCCGACCCTCCTCCACAATGAGGCCGTGGTGGGATCGGTCAGCCCCTCAGAGTCGCCTTTTGAACCGAGATGTCCTCTAGGGGTCCAACCCACAGGTCCTCGACACCGGTGCCACAAATCACATGTCGTCCTCGGATGGTATATTGTCCCGTCTTCCCCCCCGCCTCGGCATCACGGTTGGCAGCGGCACCATTCCTATCACATGCCGTGGCACCTCCACACTTGTCTTCTCCCGAATCCACTTTTCACCTCACTAACGTTACGGTTGCCCCGGCTCTCGGCGCAATCTTCTTTTCCGATTCGTCAATTCACCGTGACAATGATTGTTCCATTGAATTTGACGCTTTCGGTTTTTCTGTCAAGGACCAGCAGGGGCGCGACTCTTATTTGCAATAGTGGTGGCGACCTACACACCTTCCCTTCCAAGCTAGCGCACCACCACTGACCCTCGCCACCACCTCGTTGCTATGGCATCACCGCCTCGGTCACCCCGGTCCTTCCAGTCTCGCCACTCTACAGAGCATGTCGGTCATCTCGTGTCATAAGAGCCCACCATCCATATGTCATGCATGTCAACTTGGCAAGCACGTGCGGCTCCCATTTAGTCATTCTACCTCTGTGACAACTGCTCCTTTTGATTTAGTTCATTGTGATGTGTGGACGCCCCCCGGTCCTTAGCACCTCCGGCTTTAAATATTATCTTGTTCTCTCATTGGATGATTTTTCCCATTCTTCGCTGGTCGTTTGGCCGTCACAAATCCGAGGTGCACCGCCACATAGTCGAAGTTTATTGCCTACGCTCAAACACAATTTGACGCCACCCCCAAATCATTCCAAGCTGATAATGGGACCGAGTTCGTTAACCATGCCACCACCTCCTTCCTCGCTAGCTATGGCATTACGCTCCGCCTCTCGTGTCCTTATACCTCTCCTCAAAATGGCAAGGCTGAACGCATGCTTCGCACCACCAACAACACCATCCGCACCATGCTCCTTCATGCGCCCATGCCACCTCCCTCTTTGGTGAGGCCCTTGCCACTACCACTTTCCTCCTCAATAGGTGACCCTCCTCCATCCAAAATCATATACCCTATCAGCTTCTTCACAAAAACCTCCCAGACTATTCCTCGCTTAGAGTTTTTTGGATGCCTCTGCTATCCCAACCTCACTGCCACCTCCCCCCACAAACTAGCCCCTCGTTCAGTAGCCTGTGTCTTCCTAGGGTACCCGTCCTCTCACAAGGGATATCACGCCTCGACATGTCCACTCGGCGCATCATCATCTCTCGCCATGTTATTTTTGATGAGTTGGTGTTCCCATTCTCAGAAGACACCATCGGCGGCCTCCATGCCGTCTTCACTTGACTTCGATGTGGGACTATCTTCCTCGACGACCCTCTGACCACACCGGCTCCACGCTCACTGGCACCACGGCCTCAACCTCCAGCGTGGGCGAGTCCCCGGAGCTCCCTGGACCCGGCTATCCTCCGGTGGGCCCCTTGGCTACCCTCATGGGCGAGAACCCCCACTGCTCATCCCCCCAAGGGTCCTCTTTGGTGGTGGCTGGCTTGGCGTTGTCTACACTCGCCGTGCCAAGCCTCTCATCGCAGCCGACCGACCGTGCAGGCGGCTCTGTGGCATGCATGGTTGGCCCCCGCTTGCACTCTCCAAGAGCACTGTGGCCCCTCTGCAGACCTCTAGCAAAGACCGGTGCCCCCCTGCTGCGCCTTCCGAAGAGCACCAAAGCGGTAGCCTCGAGCAGCGGTCTCGCTCTCGGGCGGGCTCCTCGCTACTGTGGCGCACTCCGCAGACCGGCAGCCTCCGCACCGTCCGAAGCGCCGGATTCTCGCCTCACGCCGCGCTCGCCCCCCGGTGAACTATCGTGAAGCGGCTTCGTCGATCCTAATTGGCGCGCCGCGATGGCGGAAGAGCACAAAGGCGCCGATCGACAATGGCACTTGGCGCCTCGTCCCTCGCCCACTTTGGTGCGAACATCACACCGGAAAGTGATTGTTCAAGCACAAGTTTCACTCCGACGGCTCCCGCTTTGGCACAAAAGGCACTTTGGGTCGTCCGCGGCTTCTCCCAAAGAAGGCGGCGTCGACTACGACGAGACATTCGGTCCGGTGGTCAAGCCGCCACGATCCGCGACTGTCCTCGGCATTGTTGTGTCCGGGAGTGGCCCATCCGCCACTTCGGCGTGAAGAACGCCTTCCTCCACGGTCACCTTGAGGAGACGGTCTCATCGCGAGCAGCGCCGTCCGCTTCGTCGACCCAGCGCCCTTGACTCGCTCTACTTGTTGCGAAGTCCTTGTATGGACTCAAGCAGCGCCATGAGCTTGGAACGGTAACCGCCACGTTCATCGCAACATCGCTTCACGCGCCTCCAAGTCGGATGCCTCCCTGTTCATCTACAAGGTTGGCGACGAGCTGATCTACCTCCTCCTCTACGTCGATGACATCATAGTCACCGCGTCGTCTCCGGCACTCCTACAAAGACGTCATCATCAGCGCCTCGCTCGGAGTTCGCCATGACGGACCTCAACGACTGCACCACTTCCTCGGCATCTCGGTGACCCGGGGCGGCGGCGCTTCTTTCTCCCCAATGGCGGCTGATTGTGGATCTTCTCGGCGTACAAGATGTCGGCGTATGCCAGTGCCGACAAAGCCTATTCTCCTATGGATGCCCGGACCAAGTATGCGCCCATGAGGGCGCCCGGTCGCCGATCCCTCGAGTACAGGAGCCTTCTTTGGTGCGCTCCAAGATTTCACACCGACGAGGTCGGACCTCGCCTATGTAGTCCAAAGTGTCCGCCTCTTCATGCACGACGACCCCCATGAGCCGCACCTTGCGCTCATCAAGCGCATCTCGCGGTACGTCAAAGGGCTCCTTGTCGTCCGGCCTGCGCACTTTAGGCCTGGCGCCATCCACCACCACCGCCTACTCCGACGCCGACCGGGCGGCTTCCTAGACACGCGCGCCGCTCCACCTCCAAACCTGCGTCTACCTCGGCGACAACCGGTGTCTCGCTCGATCTGCGTCAAGCAGAGTATCTGCGGCAAGATAGCTCCACGTTGTGGCCGAGGTCTTGCGGGCTACGCCCGGTGCTCCAAGAACTCCACATCTCGATCCCGCTTGCGACGGTTGTTCATGCGACAATGTGAGCACCGTCTACACATGATCGCCAACCCGCCCACCACCCGCCGCATGAAACACATCGAGATCGACATCCACTTCGTCCGCGAGAAGGTCGCTCTGGGCCAGTTTCGAGTTCTTCATGTCCTCTCCGCGTACCAATTCGCAGACATCATGACCAAGGGTCTACCCGTCCAGCTCTTCACTGATTTCCGGACCAGTTTGTGCGTCCGTGATTCTCCCGCTGCGACTGCGGGCGGGTATTAGGATATGTATATATCAGGATCATTAGAGAGATCCCCTAGATAGGCTAGTTACTATGTATAGCCTAACCTCCTGTATTTGTACCTTCCATGTGTGCCTAATTGGCGCTATATATGAAAGGCTCCCCACCCACATTGGGTGTGTGGTGATTTTCTCCATTCTACACAAAGCACATAACCTGATAATCATTTGGTACTTTATATGCAGTCTCGTGCACTGGGTATGATTCGCTCACATGTGTTGTCAATACTTAAAGGTGCTTCATCCCAGGTAATTCTCAGTTGCTTTTTCTTAGTATACAAGTGAAGTCAATAGACAGCTATAAATGATACTTATACTTGGTTGAACCTTGCAGGTTCAAGCTGCAATTCGAAGCAGTGATTCTGGCAAAAACATTGTCACAGAGGGTGTGGAGGCATCTCTTATCTATGTTCGCTTCAAGGCGGCTGCTAGCGAGGCATAATTTATATGCATGATGTTTCACTCTGATAATAGCAAATTATGTTGTCTGTAATAGGGTATGACATTGCAGTCCTGATACAATTTTTGTATATTTGTCGACCAGCTAAAACCAATATTAGGTGAAATTGAAAGTAGATCTTCAAGGAAGGAGTACGCACAGATTCTTTCCGAGTGTCACAGTTTGTTCTGTGAGCAGCGGCTGTACTTGGTATGTTACAAGAGTTTTATCATTGCACTTTGTTTCCACCATAATAACTCGGTTGTCACTTAAGCCGATATGACTGCTAGGTACGAGGCATGATGCAGCAACGGATCTCGGAGTTTGCAAGAAAAGAGGCCTTGCCTTCGTTGACAAGGTCTGGCTGTGCCTATCTGATGGAGGTAACTCCTTACTTTCTAACTTCCTGTTTAGGTTTCATCTTGTGTATTGAAATTGTTTTTGAAAGCGGCGACTTGAAGTCATTATAGTATTAGAAAACTTGATGTCATACGGAAAAGGAGAAAATGTAAGTAACTAGCTAGCATACTGGTAGTATTAGAAAACTTGATACTCAACTAGAGATGTCGATTCATCTTGCTTTGTGAATATTTACTATTAGTATAAATGCTCATCATACATGCTTAATGACTATCATATCTTTATGTTTTGTCAGCTGCTGAGCATCATCCACATGTATTTTGTTTTTGTTTTCTAGTGCTAAATCACTGCTTATGTTTGATTGCTAGAAAAACATGTTTACTAGTTTTAACATTGCTTGTCAGGCATGCCAGTTTGAGCACCAGCTTTTTGCTCACTTCTTCCCATCATCTGCTTCAGATGTTTCAAGTATGGCTCCTTTAATGGACCCCCTGTAAGTTAATTTATTCTCTTTAAAGATTTGTTATTTCATTATTTCTATGTGCAGTCATGCACTCATGCTGTCAACCTTACTTTTAGCTGAGGCGATTAGTTTGTGAAAAGCTCACCTAGCTTGATTTGAGGAACATAGGGATATACAAAACCTAGGAGGTACTCTGTGTTGGCCCAAAATATATCTCAGATTCAAATTTGGGGAACCACCAGAGGGCAGCTTGGCCCTTGGCCGTTTGGATTGAAAGGAAAATGCAATGGCTTGTCCTAATACAAGGGTGTGCCCCTCCTCTTATAGGCATAGGGCAACATCTACTTTCTACCTGCTCCAACATATTTTCTAACCACTAAAGTGAATGCTGAGCATATTCCTATTATAAAGGCTTGGAAGCCAAGGAAAATAAAATGTAGAAAAGTAAGATACACGTGCTACCGAGCACTAGGCTTATCTGTCATTCTCCCCCTAAGCCTTGTGCCAAGCACTGGAAGCGATCTGCTGTAGCCCAATCCTCTCCCTCATCTCTTGGAATTTAGACTTCCCCAGCGACTTGGTGAGAATGTCGGCCAACTGATCAGTAGTGGCAATGTGGCTGGTCTTGATGCTCCCGTCCTCCAAGCAATCTCTGATGAAGTGGTACTTGATGCTGATGTGCTTGCTTCTCTCATGGAAGACAGGGTTCTTGGCCAGAGCTAGAGCAGACTTACTGTCCGCCTTCAGCTCAACCACATCCACCTTCCTCCATGGCAGCCATAGTGCCTGAGTTGCTGCAGTGGTGATGGCGATGTACTCTGCTTCACAGCTCGAGAGGGTCACCACCTTCTACTTGAGGGACTGTCAGCTGACCAAGTAATCACCGAGGAAGGACATCGTCTCGGTTGTGCTCTTGCTGGTGTCCACATCGCCGGCGAGGTCGCTGTCGCAGTAGTCGACGAATCGTGCCGTGTCGGGGGCCCTTCCGTAGTGAAGACCGTAGTCGAGGGTGCCCGCCACGTAGCGCAGGATACGCTTGACGGCCTGTAGATGCTCCATCGTCGGCCGCTCCATGAACCCGCTCATGTACCCGACGGTGAACGCGATGTCCGACCGGGTGTGGACTAGGTAGCGCAAGCTCCCGATCAGCCACCGGTAATGGGTTGGATCAACCTCCTCCGTCATGCTCTCCTGACTCAACTTGAGCTTCTCCTACATCGGGGTGTGGGCCGGATTGCAGCCTGTCATGCCGCCGAGCTCGAGGATGCGCTTGGCATAGTGGGTTTGGTGGAGGGCGATCCCGCTGGCGTCTTGGCGCACTTCGACGCCGAGGTAGAAGTAGAGGCCAAGGTCGCTCATGTCGAATGCCGCCTTCATCTGTGCCTTGAACACCTCCACCTTCTGCTCTTCAGCGCCGGTGATGATGAGGTCATCGACGTAGACCAGTAGGACGGTGCGTCCGCTGCCCCGTCGGTACACTGCCGCCTCATGCGCGCTCTGCTTGAAGCCCATCTTGAGTGTGGCGTCGAGCTTCGCGTTCCAGGCGTGCGGTGCCTGGCGCAGGCCGTAGAGTGCCTTGCGCAGGCGGTACACCTTCCCCTCTTCTCCGGCGACGGCGTAGCCAGGTGGCTGGCGCACGTAGACCTCCTTCTTGAGATCGCTGTTGAGGAAGGCGGACTTCACGTCCATGTGGTGGACTTGCCACCCCTCTTGAGCTGCCAGCGCGAGGACACGGACTGACTCCATGCGCGCCACGGGGGCGAAGGCGTCGTCGTAGTCGATCCCCTCTTGTTGGACGAAGCCGCGCGCTACCAGCCGCGCCTTGTGCTTGATCACCGGGCCCACCTCGTCCTTCTTGAGCTTGAACACCCACTTCAGGGTGATGGGGCGGTGGCCGTCAGGCAGTGGCACCAGCTCCCAGGTGTGGTTCTGCTTGACGGACTTGTGCTCCTGCTCCATCGCCGCCCGCCACGCCGGATCACCTTACGCTTCAGTATAAGTGGTCGGCTCACCGGCGTGCGTCAGATGTAGCTGGACGAAGAGCCGCTCGGGCTGGTCCGGTGGAGACTGCTCTCCAAGGATGTTCGCCACCGTGCGGTACCGGAGGGACTCATCGTCGTAGTAAGCGTCGAGGCGGTCTTCATCATCCTCCAGCGGTGTCGCGTACTCGACCTCCGGCTGCCCTGCGTGCAGTGGGTGAGGTAGAAGATGTCGGGGACGTCGGCTGGTGCGCCGGAGAGGTCGGCGCTGCTGCCGATGAGCTCCCGACCGCCACCGATGGACCGCCGATCACCGCCGATGGGCTTCTGAGCTCCCTCGGATTTGGTGATGGCGAGAGCGGCGGAGCTGATGAAGAGGTCGGCGCTGGTGATGAAGACCCAATCGTCGATGAGGATGCACCTTGTGCTCCCTCAGCACCTCCCGCCCACGCATACTCGACGGTGAAGTCACGGAGCGCGGCCGCCGACCCGTTGTCCACCGCCTTGTCCCATGCCCAGCCGCGTCCTTAGCCCCCTCTGCGTAGCCGATGAAGACCCTCGGCAAGCTGCGATCGTCGAGCTTGCCGACGTGGTTCAGCTCCTTGACGAAGGCGAGGCAACCGAAGACGCGCAGATAGTTGTCCGCCGGCTTGCGCCCGTGCCAGGCCTCATATAGCGTCTTGCTGTCGAGAGCACTGGTCAGCGAGCGGTTGAGCAGGTGTACAACGGTCATTACGGCCTCGCCCCAGTAGATCGCCGGCATGTCGCGCTGCTTGAGGAGGGCACGTGCCGCTGCCACCACCGTCTGATTGTGGCGCTCGACCACGCCGTTCTGATGTGGTGAGTAGGGCGCGGAGTAGTGGCACTGAATCCCCTTGTCGGCGCAGTACGCCGCGAACTCGGCCACCGTGAACTCGCCGCCGTTGTCCGTGCGGAGCACCCGGAGCTTGCAGCCGCACTCCTCCGCGGTTGCCTGGTGACGCTTCATGGCGTCTGCAGCTGCCGCCTTGGAGTCGAGCAACACGGCCCACATGTAGCGGGTGGCGTCGTCGACAAGCAATAGGAATTAGCGCCGACCTCCAGGAGCGGCCGGTGGCACTGGACCGCAGAGGTCGCCGTGCACCAGCTCAAGCTGCTCGGTGGCGCGGTAGGAGGCTTGACGCGGGAAGGGCCGGCGTTTAGTTTGGTCACCACACAGGTGTCGCAGAGCTGCTCGACGTGGTCGACGCAGGGCATGCCGCGGACCATCTCCTCCTTGCCGAGCTGTTTCAGGGCCTTGAAGTGAAGATGCCCGAAACGCTCGTGCCAGCGCCACGCCTCATCATCCCGGCGTGCGGCAGGGCAAAGGGGGTGCGCCACCTGCACATGAAGGACGTAAAGGCGATTTGCTTCCCCGGTTCACCTTGGCGAGAAGACGGCGGCTTCTATCCTAGATACGCAGCACGCCGTCCTCGATCTCCAACCGAGAGGCATTCTTGTCCAGCTGCCCGACGTTGATGATGGAGTTCCTCAAGGCCGGGATGTAGTACACGCCGGTGAGGAGGCGGTGCTCCCCCGTCTTGGCCTTGAAGATGATCGAGCCGACTCCCTTGATCTCGATGGCGGAGGCGTCACCGAGCTTGACGGAGTCCTTCACGCTGGAGTCCAGGTCGGAGAAGAACTCGCGCCGACCAGTCATGTGGTGCGTGGCACCGGTGTCGAGGTAGCAGTCGTCGATCTTGTCATCGTCGGCGCCTTTGCCGAGGAAGGCGTGGGAGCGCGGTTCGTCGAGGTGGAGATGTGCGGAGCCAGCCAACGCGGAAAGGGGAAAGCTTGGACCTTTCACCCCCTCCCCTGCTTCTTGCTGCGGCTCGACGCACCCGTGCACCAGGAACAGGGCAGCATCCTCCCCTGCTTGCGCGACGTGAGCCTGCCCACCGCGGCGTGGAGGAAGGCAGCAGTCCTTGGCCCAGTGGCCGGACATGCCGTAGTTGTTGCAGGTGTCATCTTAGGTCGCCTTGCGCTCGCCGGCGGCGCCGCCATCAACGCCTGCCTGACCCCGGGGCCCCTTCTCCTTGCCGCCGCGTGGACGCCGGCGACGTTCCTTGGAGGAGCCGGATGGTCCGGATCCTTCATCATCCTTCTTCTCGAAGGCACGCCACTGCTCCATCGTGTACAGCAGCTTGCCTCCGGCGGCGCCCGGCTCGGCGTGAGTCCCCTCCTCGCGGTCCTGCATCGCCTTGAGCCTCCCGATCACATCCTCGACGGTGAGCTGCTCGAAGTCGAGGAGCGTCTTGATTGACATGACGATCTGGGTGTACTTCTTCGGCATGCAGCGGAGGAATTTCTCCACCGCGCGCTCCTCCTGAGGTCGGTGTCGCCGTTGCATGCCATCTGCTCCATCAGGTTGGTCAGGTGAAGGGCAAAGTCCTCGACTTGCTCACGTGGCTGAAAGGCGAGGCCTTCCCACTCCCCTCGGAGGCGCTGCAACGTCGCCCGACGCGCACGACCTCCGCTGACGCGCGTCGCGGCGATCGCTTCCAACGCCAGCTTCGTCGTAGCCTTTTGGCGAGGGAGGCGCTGAGCTCGGTGGGGACGGCGGCGCACAGGCCTCCAGCGCCCGGCGATCGTTGTCGTAGCTGACGCCGCCGACGTGTACCGCCTCCCACAACCACCGAGCTTGCAACTTGACCTTCATCAGCAGGCTCCACTCGTGGTAGTTCGCCTTGGTGAGCATCGGCCATGGCGTTCCCGCTCCGGAGTCGCGGTAGACCGTCTGTTAGCACCGGGGAGCGCCCGCGGCGACCACGATGCTGCTCTGGTGATGGCGACCGGCGGCGGCGCCCGACCGGGCTACGCGATCCTCCAGCTGTCTTCGGCTCCCGCTCCATCTCGGCGCGCAGCGCAGTAGCGGCAACCACCGCGGCTTGAGCCGCAGTTGCTGCCTGCCTGGCCGTCTCGGCCGCTGCCGCAGCCGCTGCCTTTGCAGCAGCAAGGCGCGTCGCGCGATCTCTGGCTCCGGATCCTGCTGCGTCACCGCCAGGGTTGATCACCGCACCAGCGGCGGCGCGC